TTTTGTTCCTTTAGTTTTGCTTCGTTGTTACACTCCACAAATGAGGGAAATCATTTGGCATTTGTCTTTCTCCGCCTGGCTTATTTCACTGAGCATAATGTCCTCCAGCTCCATCCATGTTGTTGCAAATGGTAGGATTTGTTTCTTTCTTATGGCTGAATAGTATTGCATTGTGTATATGTACCACCTCTTCTTTATCCATTCGTCTACTGATGGACACTTAGGTTGCTTCCGTATCTTGGCTATTGTAAAAAATGCTGCTATAAACATAGGGCTGCATATGTCTTTTTGAATCTGAGAAGTTGTATTCTTTGGGTAAATTCCAAGGAGTGGGATTCCAGGGTCAAATGGTATTTCTATTTTTAGTTTTTTAAGGAAACTCCATATTGCTTTGATGTTTTCTATTCTTTCTCTTTCCTTTTTTTGATATCTGTGACCTTGGTTTTATTGTTTTTTAATCCCACATATAAGTAAGATTATACTGTATTTGTCTCTCTTTTTTTTGACTTAACTTCACTTAGCTTAATGCCCTCAAGGTCCATCTAATATTTTCCATTATGTTGACAACATTTTTAATGCTGGTTTGTGCAACTAAATTGACTTCATGACTCACAAATGGGACAAGACCTGCAGTTTTAGAAATAGCACATGAGGGATGACCAAGTCATTCTAGAAGACAATTGTCCAGCTCAGAGCAAACTGATACATGTGGGGTTCTAAGCGCCATGCTGGAATGTCGGAGAAGGGAAGCTGTCCGACCTTCCCCTGGAGGCCGCTGTCCTCCAGGCCGCCCCCTTCATGACTCAGCATGCGAGGTGCTCTTTTTGGCCTAGTCATGTCACACCCAACAGTGTTTCCGTGACCATCACGTTGTATCTGCTGTTTATTTTTGCTGTGTAACTTCTCACAGAGCACATGGGGTCACCAAACAGCCTGTGTTATACCCTGGTAGTGTAATAGAATGTTATGGCCTAGAGAGGGTGGGAGAGGACGGGGGTGGGGGAGGGATGGGGGTGGCGGGGGCAGGGAGGCACTGAAAAGATTGTGATACAGGAATATGGAATGTGTACACGTCACCTTTAAAAATGGGAAGGTAGAGGAAAGACAAGCTGCATGAGACAGTGTTCGTCTTTCATAGTGGGGCTGGGGGTCAATAGAAAATAATTGTGTAAAATACAAGCTGACTTCCCGTTGAAGATCTCTGAAATAGAGATGAGAATGGACACTTATTATCGGATGTCAGGGGGATGAGGCTGGGGGACAAAGGTTGATTAGGGCACGATTAGGGGGCATGTCTGAGGTAGTATGTAGCACATAAAATGGTAGGCTTTCGGTTTTTGTTGTTTTTTAGCTAGACTCCGACTGCCGCATGGAGTACAGCTGCAGGGCGTGAGGCTGCAGCCAGTGGACGGGGAGGAAGCCGGGCAGCGACCCATGGACACATTCAGCAAGATACTGAGTACTACCTGTGTGCCTGGCCTGGTGCAGGACAGTGCGGGGGACACAGGAGTGATTGGGACAGCCCTGGGCCCCACCCTCATGGGGCTCACAGTCCAGTGCAGGAGACAGAGTAGAAGCAAGTGCCTGGATGACAGGGTCATTCCCAGTTGTGATAGGTGTTCCGAAGGGAATACACAGAATGAGAGGAAGGGCAGGGGGTCCCTGCTTAGGGAGGTCAGGGAGGGGACGTTGGTCAGAGCTGAGACGGAGCCCAGACCAGCGCAGTGGGAACGGTCTGAGAGAGACACACAGGAGGCAGAATGGGCAAGACACAGGGCTGAGAGGCTGTAGTGGAGGGGAACACTTGAGTCCCAGGTCTCTGGCCTGGTGACAGTATGGCCCCAGCAGGAGGAACCACTGTGGGCGGGGGGCAGCGGCTTCAGATTGGATACAGTGCGTGTGTTATGTCTGGGAGATGTCCGGGGGCCTGTGGACACCCAGGTGTGCAGTCCTCAGTCCTGTCCCGGCCTGGCTGCACTCAGCCACCCCTTCTTTCTAGCCCTCCATTCCCACACCATCCTTGTTCCTGAACCCCAAATCTCGCTACCAGACCAAGAGAGACTGCTCTTAACTCCTGTTCTGAAAAGTATCCCTGCCACACACACACATACAATTACTTTTGCCCTGGATGTGTGCTGCCCCCGGGTGCCCATTCCCAGACCCACCTACTGCCCAGGTCCCCGTGCTTGGTCTACACCGAGACACCAGCACATTCCCCCAGGGATGCCAGCAGAAGCTGGTCCTGTCTCTCTCTCCTTGCCGCGCTCTGGTCCCTGTGCTCTGCAGTCCTGACGTGAAGGAGCTGGTGTCAGTTAGGCGCCCGGCGCCCGGCCCAGCACCAGGGCTGTGTGTGGTCATCACATCCCATTTCACAAGGCAGCTCAGAGTGGATTGGCATTGTCCAGGCAGTAAGTGGCTGAGCCCCAGGTGGACCTCAGCTTGGTCTCCACAGCTTGGGCCCCAGTGCCCAGAAACACCAGGGCCTGGGTTACAAAGTAGTAAGAGTGGCCGCAGCAGCTGGCAGTCGCTGAGAGGGCCCTGGGTACCCTCCTTGGATTTTACTGCCAGCTCCAAGCAGAGCTCCTCAGACATGTTTGCTACCCCTTTAAAAAAATGAAAAGTTGTATACTTCTAGTGCACTTTCAGGTTGACAGCTAAAACTTCCCACAAGTTCAAGTAGGTGCAAAGGACATAATTTTGGGTATGTTATGAATACTGATAGTTTCAAACAGCTGGTGCATCCATTCTTTGAAGTATCTAATGCAGTCCACGTACTCTCGTGATTTGGTGTCTGCCAATGTCCAGTTTAAAAGAAAAATAAATAAACTCTTCTTTTACAGTCAGAAATTTTATATTGTTGCTTTTTGTCTTTGAACTTGTATTTACAATTCCTTTCCAGAACTCTGTCTAATGAATTATGTAACAGCAAGTAAAATACAAATTTTAATTTTGTATAGTTTCCTGTGACCATAATTCTAAATGTTAAAATATTTTCTTCTGGATTGAGTTACCTTTAAAGTTATTAATGAACAGTTAATTTAAAACATTTCATATATTATCCATTGTCATGGAAAACAGTTAAACATTAAAAGGAAACTGATATGTTGGAAATGAATCTCCAAATGAGCTAGACAGAGCATCGCCAATCATTTCATGTATTGTTGGACGAATATTAATTATTGCAGGAGTGAGCATTCAGCATCAATTCTGCCTTGGTGTTTAAGATTCAAATACTGAGAACCTTCGTCCACAAAGAAGCAGCTAGGCAAGGAACTTTCTGTTCCAGCAGCACCAGCCAGGTCTTGAGCTTCTTCCAAGGTATATGCCCAAAACCTCACCGTGAGGAGCTCACAGCTGTTAGGTCCATCTTCAGGGATGATGAAGTCTAGGACTGGAGCCACCAGACTTGCAAAGAGATCCGTTGGTCACATGCTCACAGTCGCTTAGCATTTCAGCTGCGCTTTCTTTGGATCCAGAAGGTCCCCCTCTGCTGCAGCTCTAACTGCATTTGGGGAAGATTCAGAAACAAAGGGAGTCTGCCTTTCCCCTGGCAAATGGGCAGGGGGTGACAGAGCCCGGGAGGGGGAGGACGCCCAGCAGGCTGGCTGGAGGCTTGAGGGAGGAATGGAGGGAGCTAAGCTCTGGCAACTGAGTCCCTACAGTTACCTGGCACTTTGTGCTCTGGGAGCCCCTGTCACCCTCCAGGGTCGTGGCCCCTCAGTCTGAGGACACCCCCTCCAGGGTAGGGTTTCTCATTCCTGGCTGCTTGTAGAATCCTTCTGGGTGGTTTAAAAAGATGCCTCGGAGGTCACTCCACGTAGGTGACTTGGTGTCACCCAGCCAAGGCCTGGTGCCGGTCTTGTTTAAAGCGCCCCGGGTGATTCTGGCTTGTGGACACCAAGGCATGGAGGGGCGGGGCTCGCAGGGGCTCCCAGCAATGCAACCTGACCCCTCTCTCCCCCTGCAGTATACCACTGGGTGGAGATGCGGACCAAGATGCGCATCATGGGCTTCCGGGGCACAGTCATCAAACCGCTGAATGAGGAGGCAGCTGCCGAGCTGGGCGCTGAGCTGCTGGGCGAGGCCACCATCTTCATCGTGGGGGGCGGCTGCCTGGTGCTGGAGTACTGGCGCCACCAGGCCCAACAGCGCCGCAAGGAGGAGGAGCAGCGCGCCGCCTGGGACGCAATGCAGGACGAGGTGGGCCACCTGGTGCTGGCGCTCGAGGCCCTGCAGGCTCAGGTGCAGGCGGTGCCCCCGCTGAGCGCCCTGGAGGAGCTTCAGGCACAGATGCAGGAGGTGCGCGCCCAGCTCCGCACCGAGGAGGCCAGGTCCACGCCCCGAGCAGTGTCCCCGTCCAAAGAATAGGAGCCTGCGGAAGCCTGAACTTGGACATGACTGATGTGGCCTTCTCCCTGAACTGCCCTTGCCTGTGCTGATCCAGAGGAAACCACCTGGATCTTGATGGAACTTGGATCCGGTTGCCCCTTACTGACCAGTGGTACCTGCCTTCCGCTGGGACCAGCCTCCAGTAGGTGAGGCGTTCAGCATAGCCCCCTCCAGCCTTCAGCTCACTGGTGCAGCCCACAGGGCTCATCTCCTCCCTCGGCAAACCACAAGGTCCCAGCCTGCAAGACGTGCTCACTCTTCTGGCAGAAGAAAAATGTGGGACCTGGACTACAGCGTAATCGACCTGACACCCCTTTCTTTACCTGACCAGTGTTACCTTCCCCCAGACGCTCATCCTTCACCCAGGAACTCGCGCTTCCCCCGGTCAGTGGGTGCAGACCATCATGAGGAGCTCCCGTGCCTCTCAGCGAACTCCGTCCCCCTCAGCTTCTAAGGTGGGCTCTTACTGGGACATCACTGCTCTCCGGAGGGGGATAAAAGGTGTGCTGGCTTGGTCACGGAATGTTCAGTCTCCCCTCTCAGCCTGATCTGTGATGTCTTACCCTGAGACGCCAAGTGGAATATTCTAGCAGAACCCTCCTCACCCTTCAGTCTGTGGCACAACCCACTGGAATGGTGGGGCAGTGCCCTCCCAACCCACCTTTGTGGTGGAAAATTTGACCCTGTCTACAGCTGGTCCAGCCTGTCTTTTAGCCTTGGCCTCCCACTTACCTGCCCTCAGAGTCCTTGGGCCTTTCCTGACCTGTGTGCTTACCCACCTTCCCGACTGTCTTCTCCAGTGGCCTCTCTCAGGAGACTGTCAGCCATGGATTACATGGTCACAGCCCCAGTTTCCATCCACATCTGTGGATCTGTGTGCTGTTGCCCTCCTATCCTGGGGCTCTGGGCTGGTCAGCAGTCCCTTCATACAGTGGTTTCCTCCTGCCCCCTGAGCCCCAAACCTACTCACTCCCAGAAGACTAGGCTGTCAGTTCATCTTACCCTCTTCATCAGTTTCCTGGGGCTGTCGTAACAAATGACCACAGACTTGGTGACCTAAAGCAACAGGAACTACTATCTCACAGTTCTGGGGCCAGAGATCTAAAATCAAGGTGTTGGCATGCCGTGCTCCCGCTGGAGCTCCAGTGGGGGGGAAACCTTCTGGGCCTCCTCCAGCTCCTGGTGGCTTCAGGCACTCCTTGGCTTGCATATCTCCAGCCTCTGCCTCTGTCTTTATGTGGCCTTCTCTTCTGTCTCTTGTAAGACACCTGTCATTGCATTTAGGGCCCACCCTAAATCTAGGATGGTTTCATTTCAAGATCCTTAATTACACCTATAAAGATGCTTTATCCAAGTAAGTGCACATTCACAGGTTCCAAAGAGTTACGATGTGGACATATCTTTTGGGGAACTGCCACTTAACCCACTACACCTCCTACCCCAAGAGTATGCTGGGACTTCTGCCAGCCACCGGGACACTCGGCCTTCCCCGTGAGGGTGAGAGGAACAGTCCAGCAACCACCTTCACTGTAGTTTCTCTTCCAGGAATCGTTAGTGATGCAGGAGGGCTGTGGGTCCCACCATTCTGCGTTCTTATATTTCAGGCTGTAGATGTTTCCTAATTTTATAAGAGCCCCAGGTGAGAAAGACATCTTAAGGATGTATCTGAGAACCATGACGTGGATCTCCAAAGTGGGTACAAATCCCATTAAAATTAGGAGAGAAGCTGAGAGGGTTCTGAGTGGGCGGAGTCAGCCTATGAACTCTCTCCCAGATGGGGCATTGAGGCCCAGGGGAAGCAAGGGGACTTGCCCGAGGCTAAGGAGCCAAAGGGGGACTGGCCATCCAAGGTGGTGAAGTGGTATAAGCAGAGTGGGAGCACAGGGAGGGGGTGGAGAAGGGGTGCAGGGTGCCCGAGGGCACCAGAGCAGGGCGAGGAGGAGCAGGAGGGTGGGAGCTGATCACGGGGCGGGGCAGGAATATGCAGAGACCCAAGGCAGCCCAGAGGTAGTGTGGAGAGGAGGGGGCCCTCAGTCCCCATCAGAGCAGCCCCACATCTCAGCATTTAGTACATGGTTAGATCCATTCCACCTGGGCCCGTTTCTAAGCAGCTACAGGCAAAGATGCGGAGGGGGGGTGGCGGGCGTTCTCTCACTTCCGTTCTGCTTCACTTCCCTTCCCTAAGGGGTAAACAGGATCTGGACACAAGACCCACCCAGACAGAAAACCAAGAAACAGGTTCTAAACATCAACTGAATTCCTTCTGGAAAAAGGGGAGAAGCTGATACAGACGGAGCTGAGGTGGATGCTGTGCGGGGCTGCCCTTAAAATTGGAAGTGACCTGAGTGGATAAGTGATGGGGGGAAGAAGGCTAGGGAGACAGCACTGCACGAAGGGGTAACAGATGGGGCCCGGTGAGCAGGCACAGTGCCTCGTTTCCACAGTTACTCCTGGGGTCCACTCTGGCCCCGACGCCTCTCTGGAGCAGCAGTTGCTGGAGGCCAGGGATTCTAACTGCCTCCCCTCTCCCTGCTCATCATGTCAATAAATAGCTGCTATAATGTTAATTTCTTCATTTCATTTATGAGGAAACAGGCACAGAGAGGGAATGTCACCTGCTCAAGGTCACACAGGGAAGAAGCAGAGGAGGGACGTAAAGATGGGCAGTCTGGGCCAGAGCCTAAACGCCTAACCCCTGCGCCATCCTGACCCTAACGTGGCATGGCCCTCCCATCTCCCAGACTCAGAACAGCCCTGACATGTCCTCATATGTGCCAGACCTGAGACTGCATCAGTTTCACCCGCCGGGCGAGGGCACAGGGTGGGGTCAGCGTGTGGAAGTGGGGGGAATCCCCTCACCACGCACAAGGCCAGGAGGACAGTTCATCGCCGTGGTGTCCCACCAGCTAAAATGTTGTATACATTTGCAACTTGGGGAGAGGGGTTAGAATAAATTTGTAAATGAGGTTGTCTTCAAGGTGATGCTTTTTTTTCATATTAAAAAAATCCCTGTTAACCTTAAGAAAATGTCCTTTGTTTATTCTTTCATTCAATAAACATTCATTTTTATGTGTCTATTATGTGTCCCGCCCCATTCTGCGCTGTGCTGGGGTCCCAGCCAGGAGCCAGACAGCCCCAACCTGCCCTCAAGGGCTCACCGTCAGCCGGCAGACAGGTGCAATCAGACGTTTCTCTTCCGGTGTTACTGCCTGTCTCAACAGTTGTTTGGGAAGAAGGAGCTGGGCTGAATCCAGACTCCTCCCCCCATGAGGGAATCAGGACTAGGGCCTAAGGAACCGAAACCCATCCACAGGCTCGCAAAAGCCCCAAACCGCATCCCCATCTCCTGGCAGGCCTTTGTCCCCTCTGTTGGTTTCCCTGTTGGGTAGGCCCTTGCCTGGAGAGAGCCACCCAGGTGAAAATGGACTTCATAAAGCCCCTGCCTGACCCACTGGCCCATACAGCCATCCCTGTGCTAGCCACTGTGTCTCTGCGTGGTCAGGCCTGGGTCCCAGCCCCGGTGGACAAAGGAGGGAGAGGAGAAGCATGTCCAAAGGAGAACTGAGTGGGCACCATGCACCCACTCACTAGACAATGTTTACTAAGTGCCTGCTGCGCGCCTCGCCCCCATTCTCGTAGCTTGGAATCAGCCAGCAGCGAGACAAGGTCCCCACCACCATGAGCCGACACCTGCAGGAGACAGAGCTAATCCAGTGTCGGAGTTCAGGAGTAGTGGGGACGGCTGATTGAGGGCAGGTGGTCGGAGATGAGCCCTGAAGGCAGCTTCCAGGGAGCAGGCAAGGGTTATTGGTAACTAAAGGCCCTAAGGCAGGTGAGGGGTTGGCCTGTTACTGGGACAGCAAGAGGTTATGGCTCTCAGAAAGAGCAGGGGTTTGGGGACTAAGGTCGCTGGGCCAAATCCAGCTGCCTGCTGTCTTTGTAAGTAAAGATTTGTTGGAACACAGCCACACTCATTTGTTTTTATGTTGTTTATGGCTGCTTTTGCACTGCAATGGCCGGCTTGAGTATTTGCGGTAGACATCACACAGCCTTCGAAGATGAAAGTATTTACTGTATGGCCCTTTACAAAAAAAGTTTTCCAACCCCTGGAATAGAGTGAGCAAGGGGAGAGGGGTGGCTGGGGGGGCTGGGGGAGAAAGCCTGGCCGCGTTGCCTCAGCTGGCACAGCTCTGGAGGGTCGCAGCAGCTCCGGGAGCCCCGTAGGATTGTGACCGCATTGTGCTTCAGCTTCTCCCCGCCAGGCCTGTTTCCTCCACTCCGCACCCACAGAAGCTGCTCCCCTGAGCCTCTGCGGTGACCCTTCTGCACGCAGATCTCAGACTTTATCCCAGTCTGTGGCAGCAAACCAGTAAGAAGCATAGTTTATATAATCCGTTCTATACATGTTTATATAATCACAATTCACACTATATGCATTAGACTTATAATTCATGTTATAATCACCACATAGTTCATAACTCATGATATATAATGGAATATGAAAATATGTAATACGGACGATAACATTGTATCTTAAGTGTGTGTGTGTGTATCATTGGAATGCAAGTTTCACTAATTATGCTTAATATGTGCAGTGCAGTCTGATGCTTCCCTATATTCCATCTCATGAAGAAAACCTACAGATACGTGTGAATCATATATACCTAATTGTATTATAAACATAAAACCCATTACCTGTATTATAGAACACATGTATGTAAATCTCATACAGCCTATTATATATATTGTTAGAATTTTCACCAAACAGTAATTGCCCTTACCATACCCAAAACACTCTGTTATTTTCTATTCTCTTTACTGTATGTCATAAGTATATACATGTGTATGTATTATGCAAACCTACATAAAGTGGGCTGCCTTGGGCCACGGTGAAGACTTCAGCTTTTACTCTGGGTGACGTGGGAGCCGTGGCAGGGCTCTGAGCGGAGGAGGGACATGAGCTGACTTAGTGTTATCAGGACCCCCTGACAGACTGGGGGAGGTGAAGCTGGAAGCTGCCAGCCCAGTGAAGACTGACTGTCCAGGCAGGAAGTGATGGTGGCTGGACCAGGCAGAGACAGTGGAGGTAGGAAGAAGCGGGATTCCAAGCTTGTTAATATTTCAAAAGTGAAGCAGACAGGATTTGCTGGACGATGAGATGTGGGGAGTCATTGATGGCTTCAGGGTTTTTGCTCTGTGCACCTAGAAGGGAAATGTTGGCCCATCCTGCGATGGTGAGGCTGCCGCAGAACCAGGTGTGGGGAGATAGTGATCGCCCTGCCCTTCCCCAGCCCCTGGTTGCCTCAGACTTGAGCACCCTCTGCAGGCTTTTGTTATTTGTACTCAGTGTACCTGCAGGAGCTGGAGAGACAGCCCTTTCTGTCTTTACCACTGTGTGACATCACCGAGCTCCTTTTCATGCCTGGTAACTGACGTTCTGTGTCTGGCTGACTCCTCCATCAGGGGACGCCCCTGATATCCACTGGACATCCTGGAGGAAGTCGGCAAATGGAAGTGGTGGACTTGGACTTGGGACCCTTAGGGCTCCCCTCACCCCTGGAATGGCAGTGCTCAGGCCAGCCTCCACCAAGTAAGGGTGAAGTGGACCTGGGGGGGTCACAGTGGGCTTTCCATCACATCCAAGATGTGATGACCCCCCTCCCACAAAGGGCATGTCCTGGGCCTTGATATTTATTCTTTCTAAATTGCACAGTCTCTTCATAAAAATCCAGCCATTTCAGAGAAACCGAAGTCCCTTCCCTGAAAGGAAACCTGTCTACAGTTCGGGGGAACTTCCGCAGACCCCTTTTAGGGATGGTCTGGTCATGCGAGGATCCCTTAAGATCCCCCGTGTATGGGCATCGATGCTGCCCACTCCTCTCCTCTCGCAGCACTGAGCACCTGCGTGTGCCTTTCCAGCCAGCGAGAGCATTTCCTTAGGCAGATAGCAAGAGCTTAAAGAACGAAATGCATTAAAAATGTTTGTAGTTACTACAAAAATGCCCCCTAAAAGCTCCGTGGACTGGCAGGGAAACTGTCAACACTTGTAGCTATGAAACTTTTCAATTTTTCAAGCCATTGTGTGTGGTGGGATTTCATGGTTCTTGTGATTTGCATTTTCTTACTTACCTGTAGGTTGGGCATCTTTTCAGCCATTTATTAAGACATTGGTGTGCTTTTGAAAAAAGCCCGTTTTCACTGTCTGTCCCTTTGATGTTTGTTTCTGGTGTGTTTTATCCTATTGAGGTTTTTCATTTTCAAGTAACCAAATCTATTAACCTTTTTTTTTCAGGCATTTGTTTTTTGCTGTCTTTATTTGAGAAGGGTTCCTCTGCCTCACAGATTTATATCTTTGACTCTATTTTCCTCTCATATTTTTATTCAAGTTTTCTTTGTGTCTAAGTCATTCATTAAGATTAATCATCGTGTTTTGTTTTGTTTTGTTTTTGATGAGTGTAAAGCCAGAATCAGTTTTCTTCACTTTCAAGTGAATGGGCGGCTGATGTTTGAAAGTGTGTGGAACAGTCGGGCCCTCCGCTTCTCACCTGGGGCTGAGCAGCAGCAGCCACTGCGTCCCCTCCACACGGGCACTGCTTTCTCAGTCCTGTTCGGTTGTCCGCTTGTCTGCCTGTGTCAGCACCATTGCTTTTTGAATGACAAGAGTTTGAAAATGTATTTTGGTCTCTTCTAGGCAACCTGGCAGTCCCGTTCTTATTCTCATATCTGAGTGGTTGTGCCTCTGCTCTCGATAATGCATTTTTTTTAAGTTAGTACTTTCTGATTGCTTCTCGGCCTTTTGGCTAAGATCAAGTGTAGAATCTGTTCCTATCAGTTTAACATCCGATACATCCTCTACCCAAGGACAATATATTAAGTGGGTTTTGGGAGCCAGGAAGTAGAGTAGGAGCTTGCTCTGTCCCCTCCATACATCGATCTGGTATTGCAGTGCCTCGGGGAACACTGTACCCCTCTTGGGGGAAAAAAAATTTAATACTTTCTTGGGGAGCAGTTTTGGGTTTACAGAAAAACTGGGCAGAAAGAGAATCTCCATATATCCCCTTCCACCTCACACATACATAGTTGCCCTATTATTAACATTTGCATTAGTGGTTACATTTACTACAATCGATGCCTCAATACTGATACTGACTAAAGTCCGTAATTACATTAGGGTTCACTTTTGGTGTTGAACGTTCTGTGGGCTTGGACAAATGTATAATGACATGCATCCACCGTATAGTATCACAGACTGGTTTCATTGCCCTAAAAACCCCTGTGCTCTACCTAGTCATCACCCCCTGCCCCACCCTGATTTCAGCCCCGTGATGCAGATTTTGGACTTCTGTCCTCCAGAAGTGTGAGAGAATAAATTTCTGTTATAAGCCATCGAGTTCGTGGTACTATGTTATAGCTGGAGACTAATACACTCCCGCAGTCTCTCTCTGATGGCTCGTGCTGAGTAGCTCTGACCTCTCAAAGGAAGAACGTGCCTACTCCACCTTGCTGGGGGTGTGGAAGGATTTTCCAGAGATTTCTCATGGCTTTCTGCTATGTTGCATGGGAGAAAAAATAATTTCTCAAACTGTGGACATGGGTAGTTTGACAGCAAATTTAAGTCGTACTTTGAAAGAGTAAAATCATACCTTTATTAGCTCATATTTTATTGAGCAGTTTATTTTTTCCAGATTGTCAGAGCTCTGTTTCTATCCTTGGGTCATTTTCCTCACTAGATGTTTCCCCTTTCGTCTACTTTTTTTTTAGTTGGCATGAATTTAATGAGCAAAGCTGCTCAGGCCACCCAGGCACAAGGTTCAGTGTGCCTTGGGAATATTAGGAGTCGGATTGCTGGGTCATAGGACAAATGTGTGTTTACCCTCAGAGAAACTTCCAGTTTTTGGAATGCAACCGTAAGGTACGACATTCTCTTCCCGCCCCCTCCCTTGCCCCCACCCCGACTTCAAATGAAAGTTCAGCAGCTGCACGTCCCTGGCAGTGGTCCATATTGACAGTCTTTTCTTTTTCCTCTTTTTCTCTTTTTAATTTTAACCATTGTAGTATATATGTCAGTGGTA